TTTTGCAGTTGTTTTTTCAACACTGTGTGCATGCACACACATGTGCACATGTACACATCACATGAAATGTTTACACAGAATTGCACACAATCTATGTGGACAGTTTAACCACCATCCAACCAAGAAACAGAACACTGTCAATACATTAGCCTCCTGGATATCCCTCTGCCACAGAAGTAAACACAAACCTGAATTTTATAGCAGTCAGTTCCTGTTTTTTGACTTTCAAATTAATACCCAACAATTACTGACAACAGCAAAGCAAAGCTTTGAAATGTCCTGTACAGCACAAGTTTTATGTACCAGAAACAGGGAACATACTTGCCTCCGTGGCTAAAGAGTGAGAAAGAACTTCTCACTGCACATTCTTATACCTCTTAGAATTTAGTAACATGCATTTATCATCCTTTCAAACGATAAAATACAGACAGAAATAAAAGGGGTAAACATAATAAAGCATATGGAGAAAAAATATTTAAGTACTACACATAAATTAAAATATTATGAGTGGTTGCCTGGGAGGGGAAGGGGAATAAAAAATATTAAAATGTTTTGAAAGCTAGTAAGATATTGAGGAATCAATGGGTCAAAATCTAGCAATAGCAAAGAACCAAACCCAGCACCAACTCCACTTTTTTGTCCTTAAAATATCTGCCAGACCTCACAAAAAAACAGAGTAGTATTCTAGCAGCCTCACAGGGCTAGACAGGGCAAACGTCAAGGGCAAACGTCAATTCTCTCTGCGCCGCCAACTATGGGATTCTCATGAACCACCCCTTCTTCCAGCTGGACTTCCCGGGGACTACACTCTCCATAGGCAGGCCCTGGCCTGCATGCGCAGCACAATCCGGCCACCTCAGCACCCGGATGTGAAGGCAGGCGCTCCGAGACCCATTATGCCCCAGGCACCTGTCAGTAGAAAATGATGCCCCTTCCTCAGAAAAAGTGCCATCATCCTAGTCCTTTGCTCCGCATCATACAGAAAGGTCCCAAGTGGCAGAGCTACAATTTTAAATCAAGTTCTTTTGACCCCAGCACTTAGAGAAGTTCTTAACTTTACTAAACTGCCATGGAAAAAACAGTGTACGGGACTGGATGTCACTTAATCTAAAGTTATGAACTGTTTGGAGTTCTTTTTAAAATCTGCAGAGGTGATCAGCCAGCACCCCAGACACATCTCCAAGGGCAAGCACACCTTTTTCATGAAGGGGATCTAGTCCATTTTTTGAAGAGCTAGCTGAAATCTGCCACTAATTTCTACCCCCTGGTCCTTACCTGGTCCTCTAGGGTGACAAGTTTCAATGTCTCCACCGAAAGCCCCATGCCTTTCCTTCTCCAGGCCAAACAGCCTTTTGTCCTTCAGCCAAAACTCAACTGATACATTTTTAGCTCCCTCATATTGGCCTGTCACGGAGGGTTCACTTTATCTCCATTCTTTGTAAAACGGTATCTGGACTAAACACAATACTCCAGGCACGGTCTGAAAAGCACAGGGTCAAGCAAGACTGTCATCTACCCTGCCCTGGACTTAAAACCGACTACTGCAGCACAAAAACTGCACTCTACTGCAGTGCGGAAGACTGCAAGCATCTGAGAGCTAAGATGTGTTTTCAAGATGTGTCACAACTCCTCATGCTGTAGCTCGCTGGTCTTTGGTTCTTCAAATAAGTCTCTCCTCAAGGTGTTTGCTTGCTGTGCTGGAACAGCTCTCCCCACCTCCCGACCACCCCTAACTTCCTTTGCCTGATTGGGTGCCACTGAGCTCAAACCTAGCTTAAGCCTCAGCCTCACATGGTGAGGGAAGCCCTTTAGGTTCCTGTTTTAGGCTCCCACCACCCTTACAACAGAAATTAAATAGCTGTTACTCATTTAAAGACTCTTCACAAAGAGTAAGCTCCATAAAGGCAGAGGCCAATGGGGGGCTGTCAATAAATATTGAGCTTTTTTTTTCACTCAAACATATTCCCACTCCCAACAGGGCACTGGCACTGGCATCCTTTCTCTCTGCAGCCTCAGGACCCTGAGACAGGCCTTCAGGGTTTCCCACCTCCCACTACCCTGTATTTAGGCAGGACCACGATTTACCTCCCACATTATTAGAGCACTTACCCATTTGGGCCTACTGAGGTCTAATGGGATCTGACTGTAACTCAACACTGACTGTCTCTCACTAGCTGTGTCAAAGGCAGACTCTGTCACTGAACCAGGGACTCTCCTTCTGGAAGCCATGGCTTCTTTGGGTTCAGGGTCAGTGAAGAGGTCAACTGGTTTTCCCAAAATCAGGCAACTGAAGTGACCTCCCAACGTTTGCTACAAGTGTCTAAGGTTGACTCAATAACAGATTTATAGGTTGGAAAAGCTATTGTAACATTTCAGTCTCCCTGGAATCCATGCCCTCCTGCCCCACAAAAACACAGTTACAAACAGAAATGAGGCTGATTTCAGTTGTAATTCTGGCAGCTTCTCACTCTTCCTGACAGCCTTGTTGTAACCCTTAAGGAGTCCACAGCATTTTAGCCCTTACAGGATCTCTAAGCATCAACTTCTGGGTTCACAGAATTTCTGTAACGGCGAAAAATAACTGTATATCAAGAAAGCCATAAAAATATAACATTTGAAGTAAAATATTTATGCCCATAGTTGTAAACGGGCAATGTGTAAACATAAAACCTTCCCACCTTTGGAGGAAAATGTCAAATCCTGGTTCAGTCACAAAGACAAAAGGAAAAGAGACTCCAAAGTCCCTTGTCTGCTTCCCTAGTTTACTTCAATCCTATTTCACTATTATTCCTTGATATGGTTACCAAGTGATGATCAGCAATGCTCTTCCACACACCTGACCAACAGGCTTCCAACACAATCTTCACCCAAGGCAGTATAAAAAGGCCATTCATGAACTGGCCTGTGGCACATCCCAGTGCTGACCTTCCAGGTGGGCACCGATCTGTTAACTACAAGTCTCTGGGAAGCTACAAATGTGCATTCCTTTTCTCCATATAAAATGCCTCATTAAGACACAGATACTATGTCTCCGTACAATAATTCTATTGAAAAGGGAAATGTAAATCTGATAGAATCTGCTCTTGATGAACCTATGCAACCTCTCCCGTCTTTCTTCTCTACATACTTAAAAAATTATGCTTCTAATAATTATGGTTTGTTTTCTTAGGAGAAATAAACTTACCAAATCTGAAATTTCTAGAATCTTCCTCCCTGCTTTGAACAATTCTAGAGAATGGAAACATTGCTTTAACATCATTCAGATTTTCTAAGCACATTAATTATCTCATTTGCTTTAAGTGAGAGGTTGCATCTCAAACACCAACAAGGGCCCCAGCAGGCAACAGAAATGGGTGAAGTGGAGCAGGTCACGCCAGAGGCAAAAAGAAACGTAAGCCCAGACTAAAGGGGCAATCATTATAGTCAGTTCCCACCAAACTGCTGCTCCACGGGAGTCCAGTGTTCCAGAGCTTCCAACTTTTCAGGAGAATCTGAAACACAAAACATTCCAATGTGAAACCTCCTAATTTTTATAAGTGTTGATATTACTTTAAAAACGTCTCCCACCCTGGCTGGTTTGGCTCAGTGGTTAGAGCATCAGCCCACGGACTGAAGGGTCCTGGGTTTGATTCTAGCCAAGTACACGTACCTCGGTTGCAGGCTTGCCGGTCGGGGCATGCAGGGCAACCAATCATGTCTCTCTCTCTCTCTCCCTTCCACTCTCTCTGAAAAGCAATGGAAAGAATGTCCTCAGGTGAGGATTAAAAAAAAAAGCTCTCCCATTGGGCCAATTCGGCACACAGGAGTCGTTTTAATCCCTTAGTCTAAGCTAAGAAATCTATTTAGGTGTCTGTTTAAAAGAAAAGGTATTGGGGGAGGAAGTGATGATCTAAAACATCAACTTTAGGGTCTTCAATCCTCTCTTGAAAATGTTTTTTAATTCTCTCCAATCTAAAATATTACCCTCCTTGCCCTAAAGCACAAAAATAAGAGGGGTGATTACAAAACTACAAAGGATGGAGCGGGAAAATGCAAGTCACTCCCAAGGAATGGCCTTGCATTCTTCATTGTTCCTGTCATCAATATCGTGCTGCAACAAGCTGATTCTCCTTACCCTTTTGCAGCGGAGCCCCAAGGGTATGTTCATCTTGGACATGTGCCTCCTCTCCATCCCAGCTAAGACATAGATCACAAATGATACCAATGTGCAAAATTATTCAAATTTTGGAATTGCAGTCAAAGGAATCTTGCTTTTTCTCAGAAGTTTAAAATTGTTTTCTTGCTGACTAGGATGCACTCACTCCCAAGCCTTTGCTTATTATTTTGAAACATAGCACTTTGAAACATTCCTGAAAAACCAGAAAAATCATTCCCTAATTTCTGGGGCTTAAAATACTTAAGACAGTCAAATTCCACTAGTAATAAATGAACAGCACCTAACTTTTAAGTGCCTGATGCTACAAGGCATGATAGAGGAATGATCTCTGTGTTCTATGGAAGGAGTGCTCAATCCATGCCAGAATTTCATCACACACTCATAATGAAGGCAACCAAAATACTCTACTTTGTACTAAAATTCAAAACAGATTAGACAGCCTTTCAAGTCAGTGTGTCAGCATCCAGAGGCACCTGAATATAAGTAGTTAGAATCCAGTGTCCAATTAAAAATATTCCTGCCTGGCTGGTGGCTCAGTTGGTGGAGTGTCATCCCGTACACCGAAGGGTTGTGGGTCCAATCCCTGGCCGGGGCGCGTATGGGAGGCAAACTGATCAATGTTTCTCTCTCTCTCCCTTCCTCTCCCTAAAATCATGGAACATATCCTCAGGTGAGGATTAAAAATACATAAATACTATATTCCTAACTTCTCTTGTTCTAGAAAACCACATCAAAAGTACCTATATTGTTTGGTGTGTGTTCTATTACAGCAGTTCCACTTGTATGCGTTTGTTTTAGTTCAGTACATAGCAGTGAACAAGATATTATAAAACAAAAACCGAGGCCAGGCATTTCTTAAGTTTATTGGAGAAGTCTTAGTTGGAAGGGGAAAGATCAAAGACTTAAACAACTGATAGAAGATAAAAGAACAACTGCAAATTATTACAAAAGTAATTTCTGAAATGTTTATTTTGAACCACTGCTAAAACAAAATTTTAGTGCATCCTGAAGTTCATATTTTGGTAAATGAACATATTAAATTACTGAAAAGCAGAAAAGAAGTTACTGTTATACAATACAAGATCTTAATATAGTCATTCAGCACAGTCAAATAAACAGCTACAATTATTTAAAGCTGCTTTTGCTATATATCTGGTATACTAAACAAGAAGGTAATTACTTTTAACACTGCACAAGTAACCAAAGGTAGCAAATCCAGCAATATTAAACCTGATATTAAATAGTATTCAAACATTACAACAAAAACAAAACAATGAACTTCTACAACTACAATTCAACCCTTGTGAAAGGAATGTACACAGATGGTAAAAAAAAATAAATAAATAAAGTGACAAGAGTGACTAACACTGTATGTATCTGCATCTTCAGAGCAGAAATACAGGTGAGTAAATGCATACAGGGTCTTTTGCTAAAACTGAGAAAAAGAGCACTTCACTTTAGTACAATTTTATAATTTCCACTGTAGCTCTAATTCTTTTGTGCTGCTGACAGGTAGACAGGGTTTTAAATGAAAGTATTTTCCCTACAGCTTGAGTATGGATGCATCATTTTTTTAAAATTTGCTGGAAAGTTTCCTTTGAAAAATATAAAATTTAAGCAATATACTGATGAGAAACTGATGATACTAATTATGGAAAAATATTAGCTAAATAAGAAAACATCTGGATGTGAACTCTGACAATAAGTCAAAGTTAAACTTTGCATCTGGGGAATGTGCACTGATGTCAAAGTCATTGTGTAAACTACCTTTCACTTCATATAGGGTGCATTTAGTAAGTAATTAAATTCTCCTACCAACAACACAAAACCCTTATTTAAGCATAATGAAAGTATTAATGAACTGAATTAATTCACATCAAATATCTGTAAGGGTGAAACATTTCTCAAAGTATAAAGATATCACCACATATATTCACTGGGTGAACACTCTCAAAGGTTTTATTCCATTAAATTGTATCAAGCCATCCAAGAGACACTGTAATTTTCTTCTGTGAATTATAAATGAATTATTTCTTTTGTATAAATCAGAATATAGGTTCAAAATCAACATTAATAATACCTAAAAATTTGAACTTAGCTTGAAAAAAGGCAGCTTTGGAAAAACTTGCCACATTTCAGTCTAAAATAATGTTCTAAAAACCCCTGATCAGAGGCCTCATTCACTTTCTTTCCACAGATCCTTCAATGGTTCTAAAAGTGATAAAAGAAAATTCAATTCAATGCACATCACAATTTTAACAGTTCTGAATAAGATATTTCATAAAGGCCAAAATCTACAGAATGGCAATAATACAACATTATAATATAAATATGTCAAGTAGATTTGTATTAAAATAAGACAGAGCTGTCTTCAACAAACAGAGCTGTTCTGAAGACTGAGCAAAAGGATCTAGCATGTCTTTGGAAAAATCACAAAGTGCCTTTAAATAAAGTAAATTTAAACTGTACTTGGTTAAAAGAGACTGCTCTAAAGACAAATGTTTTCTTTTTAAGTTAAGAAAGTTTAATTCACTCTTCTTTTCACATCTGCCAATACTTAACATTTTTCTCTACCCCCTGCACTGAACTGATACAAGTGTGGACTTCCACTATGATTATTACAAGGCATGCTAATACCTAATGAGCAGTCTGACATATGTGGAGGCTATGTAAGGAAACTCTGAATACAGCACAGCTTCATAAAAATGCAAAGGAAAAAAGGATATGAGGAAAATCTTACCTCAAAATGATTATTACCACAAGAGAAACATAAACATTTTCAAGCACAAAGTTTTACAAAAGTAATATATGGTCACATTAGGTTAAAAGAAATTCACAACTCAGTTTGCTGTTAATCAAACCCGTACATACACTGAAGATTCTAAACACAATGACAGTTATATATTTGTAAAAATTCAATAATCAACTAAACTTAATAATCAACTAACCCGTGTTAAAATTAACAACACAACTCCTAACGTTTAAAAATCTAGCCCAGTGCTGCTGCATCTCAAGTTCTGAGAAACTAAAGACAAATGATCCTGGTTATATACATTTCCTGCATTTCTCCACTTTAAAACACTTGAAGAAACTTGAGGAACACTTATTTTTAAGGCCTGCTCTACTTCTTTATCTTCAACTGAGAAAAGCCAAAGCTTGCAATATGACCTCAAAATATTTAAGGTCCTGGCATTTTCTTAAAAAGCAAAGTTGACTCTTTCATTATAAAATACATTTCTCTACCCTAATTATTAATTCAAATTAACATAAGTGCCCCTATTCCTTGCCCCATGGCAGGTGCTATGCCTTCTACACTTTGTGCAGCTTCCAAAAAAGTCAGTGCTCAGGGAAAAAGAAAATGGACTGAAGCAAAACCAAAGCCCCCAACAAAAAGTGATTTACTCTACATTACAAAATCCGCTAATGAAAGAAACAAAAAATTCACACACGCATACCCTTGAATACAAAACCAAGACACAATCTCGGTCCTCTATTCAAGTCAACTTGCAGTTTCTAAAGCTTAAGCAGTAGGAAATGTAGAGCCCAGAAGGGTCACGTCAGAGGTCGTTACAAAATAGTGCAGGTAGATTTTATCTGGGGAGGATCCTTTTTTTTTTCCCCTAGAAAAAGCTTATCTTTGCTAATGTGGAGAGGTTTTCAAAAATTCAAGAGTGAAAATCATTACTGGACTTCTCTAAATGCATTTCTGTATTAACATTAATTTTTAAAATTTCAACATGTTTTGCAACTTTATTTTCATTTATAGGGTAAGCTGGGGACCCCAAAGAGTCAAAAAAAGAAATAAAAATTTTTACTGCACAATCTTAGACATTTTATTTTAAAGCACCTTTTCAATGTTAACAGTGAAAGTCTAACCAAGAAAACATTAAAATAGAAGAGGGCACAAACCACTAGCAAGGTTAAAGTAATCCTTTACATACACACACACACACACACACACCACACACACACACACACACACACACACACACACAAACTCACACACACACATATTCACCATCCTGCCAGAACAATTGGCAACATTAGCAAATAATATACTTTGATGAAAGGCTGAGAAAACTACTGTTTAACAGAAACCTAAAATATTAATGTTTCTAAGGAATTAAATTGTTTGAGGGATTCAAAAAGCTACCAATGGCTGAGCTATGAAAATAAAACTGACATTTAAAAATGAGTCCAAAACTACCAGAAAAAAATCAGCCTCGATGCTGTTTTTTATGTCAATAGTTATTAATAGGATACCACTTGTTTGCAAAGGAGCAAAATTCTAACTCTTTATCCCTGGAACCTATCCTTAGCCACCTCAGTGCGGTTTCTAGCAGCACAATTTGGATGTAAAAAGAATGACATCAATCAACGTCCCTGAAAACCTCATGGTTAGACCTTCCTTCAAATACATGTTCTTAGGGTCTTAACATATTACACATGTGTATAGAAGAATAAGTGAAAATAATATTTGACAGAGATTATAAAAGTATGAACTATATACAGCATGTGATGACACAGGAGCTTAAAAAGCTATACTTACTTTCCCCCAATTCACTTTAAAAGTTAATATTCACTATTCAAATTTTACCCTATGCATCTTTATTCTGTTTCTTCCTCTCCTAAAACAAATAATAAACATATACTGGTCTGGAGTTTGTTCTATGCGTTTTCCAAGAGCCAGTCAAACAGTGCCTTGCATGTCCCCTCCCCGGAGGTCTTTTCCATCACTTCATAGTAGTGAAGCACCGCCTGCAGGACGTCGCCCACTTTCCATCCTTTTTCTTGTAATTGTTTTGAAAGCTAGTAAGACAGAAAGACACGTCAAACATTAACCAAAAACAATTTTATAACAATAAAGTTTTCATTTCTATTAACATCAGCTAAAACTAAGAATCCTGCTGCTTGTAATAAAATATTGTCTCCCAGTTATAACAAAATCTTCTCCCTAAACCACCACTTTACACAAATTAAACATTTTCCTTTCCTGCCCTTTACAAATACGTCTCCTCCACAGAATGATTGTGGAGACGGAACTCGTAAATCTCACCAAGCGGACATTCTGTGTGGGAGTACAGTGCTACCTTCCTACAGGGAATTCTTAACCTAACTAAATACATCTCCCACACCCTCAATTAGAAACAAAATAATAAAGATTACGTCAAGCTTAATAAAAGGGTGTGAATTTTCCTTCCACAACATTTAGTGTGGTGTGTGTTTTTGGAATACACACTCTAGCCTCAACAGGAATATGGCTTTCTAAGTTAAGAAATGTTAACGCTTCAACAACAAAAAAACCCCAAAAAAGTAAAATACTGTGGTCATCATTTTACAATACAGTAATACACAAATATCGAATCATGTTGTATACCTGAAACTAATATAATATTATATATCAAATATACCTCAATTAAAAAAGTAAATACCCCTGGCCAGGTGGCTCAGTTGGTTGGAGCATCATCCCATAAAACAAAAGGTTTCGGTTTGATTTCCCATCAAGGCACATACCTAGGTTGTGGTTTGATTCCTGGTCAGGGTGAGTACTGGAGGCAACCAATGGATGTTTCTCTCTCTCTCTCTCTCTCTCTCTCTCTGCCCCTTGCTCTCTCTCTCAAATTAATAAACATATCCTCAAGTGAGGATTAAAAGAAAACAGTAAATAAATACTGGTTTAAATAAAAATCTATCATCACCAAATCAGAACATCTTCACTCATTTTTTAAATTTTTTTATAATAGAAATATGCTTAGATTTTAAAAAATAGCTTTTGAATTATAGCTTAATAAAAATATAATTCACATACCATACAACTCACCCATTTAAAGTGCACCTGTCAATGGTTTTTAACATTATTCACTGAGTTGAATGCAACCACCACCACAACCAATATCAGAATACTCTATCACACCACAAGGAAAGCCCTGCACATTAGTAATCGCTTCCCATTTTTCCCAGCCCCCTCAACTCTAGGGAATCACTAACCTACTTTCTATCTCCATAGATTTGTCTCTTTTGGCTATTTCATACAAATGAAGTCATTTGTATGAAATGATCTATTTATATCACATGATCTAGTATGAGCAGCTTCTTTCTTTCGCTTAGGTTCCTCCATGCTATAGTATGTTCTACTTTATTCCTTTTTATTGATGGATTATATTCCACTGCTTGGATATACCATATTTTATTTATCCATTCATCAGTTAATAGACACTTAGGATGTTTCTACTGTTGATCTATTATGAATAATGTTGCCATGGACATATGCTTTCATATACTTAGGAGTGGAATTGCTGGGTTACATAATAATCCTACGTTTAACTTTTTAAGGAACTGGCAAAATGTTTTCTGAGGTTACATAGGGACAAGGTCCCCGTACTCAAGCGCTGTCACACTCAGCTCTGCCTATGGCCTTCCTTAGCCCTCAGTTTATCTAAGACTAAATGACTTGAAAATGCCCCCTAAGGTCATCTCTAACACTTTTCCTACCCATTCTTTCTCCTTGACAGAGAAAGATGATTCTGTCTTATTTCTCCCTTTGCCCAAAAACAGAGACCTAAACTGAAAAAATCCAAAATATCTAAATAAAAACAACAAAATACTAAAAACAACAACTATTTTTACATAATATCTTTTTCACATACTTCTTCCAACGATACTGTTGTAAATTCTGAACCAGGAGTCGAGAATAGCCAGGCTGCTCCATTTCTGTTTTATAGATCAATTTACACTGGTTATTCATTAGGCTATTCTATAGCCTACATTAGGGTTACACTAAAGTTCTGATAAGAAAAGTTCTGGGGCAAAAACCTTAAGAATCTAAACTGAAAATCTTCATTAACAAGGTACTTGGCATATATAGTAAGTTCTCAAAAAAAATTTCCTATTAGTGCATCAAATCTGAGTGTTTTATTAGAACCTTACTTAATACTCAAGTGGTCCACTGTCCCTTATTAGTTTAAAGTTCTATTGGCTTTTGGTTTTGCTAGCTTCTCATACAAATGAAACTGGATTAACAGAGAAAGAGACATACAAAGTACTAGGCACAATTATGAATCAATTAAATACAAATAAAAACTCACTCTTTTCATAGAAACACCTAACTTCTAATGGCACCTAACTCTGAGATTTAGAATATTGCAGGCACTAGATGAAGCATTTTTTTGTAGTATTATATTTGATCCTCACAAACTTCTGTAAATTCTATACTCACTTCCATAGTGCAGATAAGGAGATTGGTGAACTTGCCCAAGGCTACACCACTAGAGAGGGACAGAGCTGATATATGAGCCCAACTATCAGACTCTATTGCCTAAGCATTTACCCACTCTACTTTCAACAGGTATCTTATTAGATCAACCACTTGACACAGAACATCATGTACTAAATGTATTATCACAACCACCCTATAAGGCAGGTACTTACTCGTATAAACTCCTTCTTTGCAGAGTCATGAAAAGAAAGTTCTGCAACTTCAGCCTCAGAGGCCACGAGCCACTGAAGAATAATCCTTAGTTGGGGATCTACTGCACATGGCTCCATGTCAATATTCGTTATTAGCAGAGTCTTTCCATCTTGCCCCAAACCTAATATTTAAATTTAAACAATATGAAGTGAAACTCATTGATTCAACCCTCAATACTCTGGTTTTCCAAGGATATGTAGATATTTTCCACATCTTAAGATTCCAATGAATGTTTGGAAAAAATCCATCCTTTCTTAACCACACCAGAACATCAATTAAAAGACTTCTTTGAAAGGGCAAAATAATGTAAAACAAAGGGATATCTCTGATCATCCACTGCTAGCACAAATGCAAAACTATTTTGAGGCATGGAGTTGAAGTACCATATATGCCATCAGTTGTGTCAAAATTATGATCCACAGGTAAAGGGAGAGAAAATAAAACTATAAAGCCAAGATTACAATCAAAATACAAATGAAACACACAAATAAAAACCTAAATGGACTTTAAGAAAGCTTTATGAACTAAGAGAAATAGCAGCAAATACTTGTATAGCACACACTAAAGTAAGTATTGTTCTAAGCTGTTTAAATACACAAAGTCCTGTAATCCAAAACCACCCTACGACATAGAAACTATTATCATCTCTATTTTACAGGTGAGGTTTCTGAGGCAGAGAGATCCAGAATCTTAGAATAAGGAAGTGGCTGAGCCAGAACATGAACACGGACAGTCTGGCTCCATGCTCTTAATCACTTCAATCTTTGGGAAAAATGTTACATGCAACCACTTATAATCCCAAAAGCAAGACCAGGGAATTTTCTAGTATATCACTATTATAAGTAAGATACTGCTCTCATGTTTCTTTTTTTTTTTTTACTGAAAGTTATGTTTTCACCCCAACCAGGTGGTTCAGTTGGTTGGAGCATCGTCCTGTGCACCAATAAGGCAATAAGGTGATGGGTTTGATTCCCAGTCAGGACACACACCTAGGTTGCAGGTTCAATCCCCGGTCAGAGTGCGTAAGAGAGGCAACTGATTGATGTTTCCTCTCTCTCTCTCTCTCTCTCTGTCTCTCCCTCCTCCCTTCCCTCCTTCTCCTTTGTTTCTCTCTAGAATCAATGCAAATTATATCCTTGGGTGAGTATTAAAAAAGTAAAATAAAATAAATTTTTTTAAAAAACCATATCGTCAGGTGATTAAAAAAGAAAGAAAATTACGTTTTCACCATAAAGTAGGATGAATCTCTGTTGACTGTAAAAGTAATGACTTAACACCCCTGCTTAATGATGGCTGAACAATAAGCAGTGCTAAGACACAGGCCATCCCACACAAGAAGTGAACAGCAGGGTCTGTTGGCAGATGTGGTGCCAAACTATACCAGTAATGGAAACTGTTTAGTCCCTGATTCATTTTTATAGTTTGCAGAGCATTCTAGATCACTAATTATTTTTAGGATATGTGTAGGCCCCTAATTTTTCATTCAAACAGCTGGTCTACATTATTCTCTTAAAATAAATGTACTGTTTTTTCCCTCCTCTCTCCCCACTGGCTCTCAATCAAAAAGGGGTTTGGTGCACTATGGTACTAAATATGGTCTCTGGGCCATTTTGTAACTCCTGCACTGGTCATGGGGTTGGGAGGAGCTGTCACCCCAAAGCTTCTCTGTACCACTGGCTTTCTCAGTTCAGGGTTCCTGGTTGTCTGACCTACGAGTGACCTCTCTCTTTAGAGAGGTTACTAAACACTAGTGAAAAGAGAAGGGACTGAAATCCTAAAACTACAAACAAAAATGAGGGTTGTTTCCTTAGAATTTCCTAATTTTGAATCTTTCTATAAATCTACATCAATCTATTTCCTAAATTCTAATTTAAAAAGTTTTAAAGTTGGCTACAATGTTCTATATCATGAGAGATGACTATAATCTCATAAACTGGGTAATATTATTTACAAATAATCTCCTGATTACTACCTACTCACAAAAGAAATCCATAACAGCCTGGCTAGTGCCAAAAGTGAAAATTTCTAAATGAATTTTATATTGATATTAACTTATATGTTCTCTCTTAATCATTCCTCAGTCACGTTAGTATTCATTACAGAAAATATTCACCACATGCATTTATACCAAGTATACAGCCTTTGGAATAACCTGCTCATAGGTATTACTTGGGAGAAAGTACATAACTTTTCTATATAAAAAAATCAACACTTTAACAAAAATAAAGCAAATATTACCTACCCTATCCATAACTCAAAAAGTATCAGCCCTACTTCTACTTTATATCTGGTGAGAAAAAACTTACTTCTAGAAGCCCTATATGAAGAGAATGACTACTTAGCAGAGGCATTAGAACTCAAATATAATCATCATCCTGGGTCTGAGGATTTTAGCTAAAAAACTGGTACATGACTTTCCTAAACAAGAAAAGCACAGTTCGTAATAAAACTGAGTGGAAATTTAGGTGTTATAAAGTATATTTCAAGAAATTCATTTTGGCAATTTTCTCAGTTTAACCACTTCTAAAGAAATAATTAAAAAATAAAAATAAAAAACAAGTATCTCAAACAGTATGAATATTTTTATGTTCCACTCTACCAAAGATATAACTGGTATTTCTATAATTATGGGAAAATAAGATTTTGGGGGGGGGAAATTCAACAACCATCTAAATACAATAAAAACTCAGCTTCATCATGAACAGTTTTTAGATTCACTCAGACGGTCTAATATATTTATTTGAATTAGGGATCACAAATCACGATCCTGAACTCTGTGACCAACGTATCTAGTATTTACACATTCAGAATTATGTTCATTAAAGAAAGAATTGAGTATTTTCTTCAAATATGTGTATGTGAGTGTAAGACTGGAATTCTGGAAGAAATATGAAGAAGGAATATGACTTATGTGAGATTATCATTAAACACTAATTCTAGAAGTTACCTGTTTGGAAGAAAAAAACTATGACATATAAAATAAATTGTATCTTAGGAGTAAGAATTTTATATTTTGAAAATCATAATTATAGAGTTGATCATAAATTTTCCTCTCAAATAGTTAAAGCAGCTCAGTCTTTATTTTTTAGTTGTTTTTTTATTGATTTTAGAGAGAGAGAGAGAGAGAAACATCAATGAAAGAGACATCGCTAGGCTGCCTTCTACAGGCCCCCCACCAGGGATCAAGCCCAAAACCCAGGTATGTGCCCTGACCAGAAACTGAACCGATGAATTCTTGGTTCACCGGTGGACACTCAACCACTGAGCCGCAAGGGGCAGGCAAAGCGGTTCAGTCTTTGTATCAGTGAGTATTTCATTAGTTTAGCAACAAAATAATACAAACTGCTCAAAAAAAGACCTGACACTGTACAAATTGGTTTAAGAATACCCTGATTTATAATGTAAATACCATTATTTGTAATAACCCAGAGCATAACTGATGAAATGCACAAATACAAAAATTAAAGACTCCTATAGGAAAACTTATACAAAAAGCATGCAAACACTTTGAAAAACAAATTGTCATTTACCTTCTACATCATCCTCATGCTCTTCGTCTTTATCATCTGGCCCATCACTTTTTGAATAAAAGAACAGAAGCAGTTAAACTAAAAAGCTTTAATAATGGTATTAAAACCAATTCTTCAAATATGGTAAATAATGAATGTTACAATGTGATGTATGACATTTAAAAGGGGGAGAAATGACAATAAAAAAGGAAGCGTTGCTTCTCACACCATTTCATGTTAAAATCTGAATTATAAATGATGCCTAGATAAGTTATTGGTAACCAAGAAGTTCTACTGGACCATGATATATAGAGCACCAAGTAATTTAATAATAAAATTTAATTTAAAATAATTTGAAGCCAAAATATTCTAATTTGGTGTTAGATAACACAGCATTTGAATATCATAGAATGCCACAAATAATTATTTATTAATACTTCTGCTGATGCCATTTATATATTTTTAATATAGTAAAAACACATTTTTCTTATATATGAAATAAAACCACATACAAAAACAAACAAAAGACCAAAAAAAAAAAACAAAAACAAAAAACAGAAATCCTGTAGGAAGCAAGCTCTTCTTAATGAAATAATAATTGGTAGATGAAAAATAGCAAGCGGAGCAACACATGCATAAAAGTAACACATTTTGTAATTAGATGTCAATCATATCTTCTTAGCATAGAATTTTTTCATTAGATGTAATTTAGCAAGCAGAATTATGTCAAAAAATAGGAGAAAAGCAGCTTGATACATATTGGCATTGTAACCCACATTGTTTTAAGAATATGACATCATGCATTAGCGGTGAAAGACTCATCAGTTTTTAAGTTTCTGGACTGGACCAACCTGTCTGATGTTGGAAAGGATAAATTGTCCTCATACAAATCTCCTTCTAAACCAAGACTGCTCCAGCTACTGCTGTTACCATTACTGCCAGAGGAAGAAAAGAACAGAGCTGAACTAGAAAATGAATAGCAAAGACGACCTTGGTTTTCCTTGAAACAGCTTCTGTCAGTAATAACTGTGGCTGTTCTGAAGCGGCCACAATGGAGTGCAGCATCCACAGGGGTCAAGAGAGCCCATACTGCTACTGTAAAAGGTACCTGACAGCTGCAGAGATCTGGGTGTTTTCTTACTTGTCCTCAAGAGATCATAAAAATTACTCCAAATGTATATTTATTTTACAGATTAAGACAACAAAGTGTCTTTTAAGACAGCAAGCAAATGCATGAAGAGGTTTTACAATTAAATTCATTTCTATGTCAAGTTTCAGGATATACTTTGTAAAAAGCCAATACTCTTCAGTTTGGAATAAGTTTAAAAATAAAAAACCACAGGTTAACATTCTCTCAGGTCTTCAGACAGTGCAAACAGTGATGGACTTGGGGGGTGGGGGAGGTAGGCACCAAAATATAGTCCCAAAGAGACCTTTTCGAACTACTTGGAGAAAAAAGTTTTCTGATTTTAAAATACTCTTATTATGTCAATTACCTTCATTTCATATATTAGATATAATTCAGTAGGTGGCAAATAATATACATTTTCTTCAGAATATTGACTACCCACAGCTTATTCAAGCATTACACTTGTCTGGTTGGCCAGTCACTAATGCCACACAGATAACTTCTTTACTATGCCAATCAAAAGAAGAAAGCAACTATATTCTAAAACTGCAGCAAAGCAATAAAAAACAAAAAGCAATTGTGTTCAGAAACAAAACTAAATTCAATCTTTCAGATTAACACCTAAACATGCAATTTTTAAAAATTCTAATCATTAAAATAATTAGTAAGCACATTAGTTTGCAGTGAAAGCAGCTATAATTCCCCATATTAGACAATTATAAAAATTAATATTTACACACACCAAAATTTTGGTTCTAAAAAATGAATTAACATAAAATAATTTTATAGGCATCAGTAAATGTTGACAAAGTTACTAAAAAAGGGACGATTATTTAAAAGTTCTAAGGCGTTTCCAAGCAATCTTGAATAATTTACATATCCATGTTTACTCTACCACTATCAAATTGTGCCAAACTACAATGTGTTAGAGAATAAAAGTTAAAACTGAGCAGTATCTTTTCACATATATTCAAATAAACATAGCTCTGTCATAAAACTAAAAACAACCAGAATCTTGCCCATGTAGTCTGTTGTCAGACAAACCAAAACTGAGAAAATACAGAAAGAGAGAGTGAACAGAGAGCTACTAGCCAGAGAAAATTAATGATCTCAAACACTGTACTTACTTCTATTAACAGAATGATTATCTAAACAACAAAAAAGTTATAAAATTCTTACCCATACACTGAAGATTCCCCCATTTAATAAAAATGAATCATCTAAGTATTAGATGAACATGAAAATAAACAGTTAAAAAATGGTCAAACTCCCTCTATCTAACAGCATTCCCCCTCCGAGGTTGTCCCTTGAAATGGGTGAGATTTGAAGTCAGTTATTTACAAAATGCCACTTGTAACTAGGATGGCCATGTATTTTTCACCTAATCAGGGCACTTCTGAAAATAAAAGGTGTCACCATCAATAATTACACCTATAGAGAAGTAAACCAGGACTGTCTCCTGAGCAGACTGGGAGGTATGATCATCCTACATTAACCCAACATAAAACAACTTCATTTCTTCACTTAGAAGTCTTTCCAGTTCATCCCTGAACATGGTCCTGCTTCCATCATTTTCTTTTATGTCTTTCATGTTTCCTATGTGAAGGACAGGGACATCGCAAACCACTGGTAGTCAGGGTCTAAAATTCTTTATTGTGGCTTTCAGCCATATGAAGAGTACTATCAATTCTGACACATCTCAAAAATTATCTCAAAAATTCAGCAAGTTCATCCCTATCTCTTACCTAAATCTACTATATAATTGTTAAGAAATTCACAAACTGCTGAAATACTTGAGATTCACTTACACAGACCAGCTCTCTTTCTGATCAAACAATTATACACTCTTCCTAAACACTTGTGAAATTTTGAGATTATTGTTTCTTTTTTAACTGGTGCTCTCTATGGAACTTCCTACTTAGCAGGAAAATGCAAGTGTGTTCCAAACCTCTGAAGCCTTTAATCTCCTACCTTGATCTCTGTACCAGAAAATAACAGTTCCTATAGCAGATGTCATCAAAAGAAGAAACATGTAAAGCCATATACCTTATGTGTTCTCTGAACCTCCTGCATTAAAATCATCTGAGGTGCTTATCAAGCACGTAGATTCTTGGGACCCTCTAGTGACCTAGTGAATCAATCTCTGGGATGTGAGGCCCTGGAAACTGTATGTCCAACAAGCCTGGATGAGTCCCACTAACTTTTTCTTTGTTCCTGAACCTTAATACCACAAAGCGTAATAGTTCTTTGGACTGTGGTAGATTAAAACCACAGAAGTTTTTCTGACAAAATGCTATCAAGCCAAGTTTTCCCCATCCTAAATTCAAATAATTATTTTTCTGAACCTACATCCATTTTCCATGTTAAACATAATTATTTTAGCCTCAGCCCAATTTGGTTGTTTTGAGCGTTGGTTCTGTTAATGTCATTATCTTTTCATCTTCAGTTTTTATTTTTTACTGACTTTACTGGGGTGACATTGGTTAATAAAATTATATCGGTTTCAAGTGTAAAATTCTATAATACATCATCTGTATATTGTATTGTATGTTTACCAACCCAAGTCAAGTCTCCTTCTGTCACCATTCATCCCCCCTTTACCCTCTTCTACCTCCCCCAACACCCAACCCCTTCCCGCTGGTGATCACCATACGGTTGTCCATGTCTATGAGGTATTTTTCTTTTCTTACTTAATCCCTTTACCTTTTTAAAAAAATATTTTCTATTGACTTTTTTAGAGAGAGAAGAAGAGAGAGGGATAGAGAGATATAAACATTGATGATGAGAAACATCAGTCAGCTGCCTCCTACATGTCTCCTACTGAGGATTGAGCTGGCAACCCAGGCACGTGTGTTGACTGGGAATCAAACCAGTGACCTCTTGGTTAATGGGTTGACACTCAATCACTGAGATATACTGGCCAGGCTCCCTTCACCTTTTTGACCCAGTCCAGCAACACCCTCCCCTCTGACAGCTGTCAGTCTGTTCTCTGTATCTATGAGTCTGTTTGTTAGTTTACTTTATTCATTGGATTCCACATATAAATGAAATCATACAGTATTTGTCTCTCTGAATGCCTTATTTCACTTAGCATAATACTCTCTAGGTCCATTCATGCAGTTGCAAAAGGTGAGATTTCCTTCTTTTTTTATGGCCAAGTGGTTTTCCATTGTGTAAATGTACCATCAATTTTTTATACAGTCATCTATGGATGGGCACTTGGGCTGCTTCCATATCTTAGCTATTATAAATAATGCTTCAATAAACAGAGGGGTGCGTATATTCTTTCGAATTAGTGTTTTTTCAGATATATTCCCAGAAGTGGAATGATGGGTCATAAGGCAGTTCCATTTTTAACTTTTTGAGGAGACTCCATACTGCTTTCCACAGTGGCTGTGCCAGTCTGCATTCCCACCAGCAGTGCATGAGGGGTCCCTTTTCTCCACACCCTCAAAAGCACTTGTTGATTTACTGTTTTCATCTTCATTTTTCAGTCATTCACAAGTGAATATTTCTTATCTCTAGGAAAATAATGCTGTATAGGACAGAGCCAAGTGCAGAGCCTGGTCGGTGTCTCCCTCTTTTTATCAAACTAGGTAACATGCCACATAGAGCCGTTCAACTGGCTACAGTCCTCTTAATGCCACTAGCCTCTCTAACCCTAGTTTTCCCATTTTAACACTGGGATTTCCTAAACAATGTCAACCCTCACTGAAACTCTAGGAGCCTGTGCTTCTCAAAGATAAGAAAACAATTTCACTGTTCATATTCTAGTCCAGATAAAGTTATGGAAAAGAGACAAATGACTTGTGATTGCCTCTACTTCCTACTACCAGTTTTAAAGACTGCCAGTTTTGGATCTAGATTTTAAGAAATATTGATGGTTTACAGCTACATTTTAAGAAACTATGATGAAATAGATACTTCATAAAAATATTACTAATCCAAGTATCAAACAAAATACTCTGAGATGGTATGTTCTAGCAGGTGAGGAGTCATCTCCTTCCTTAGGCTCCCTCATCCCCTCCTCTAATAGTCTGCTTACCTCCCTCTCCAAGGGTTAATTCCAAGGCTCTGTTCACCTGGAGCCTTACAGGGTCCTTTCCACATATGCTCAAAATCTCTCCTCTCCCTTGACTCAGCTATGAATGGTATTTATTATTTCCAATTTTCAATTAATGTGGATAAAGATTTTATGAAATTTTATTGGTTAGAAAATGCATGTATAGAGTTACGGATATAAGAAAAAATTGTATCACAATTAATAAAATATTCCATAACTTTACTCAGAATAAAGTTAAGTAAGAAAAGTTATATATGAGGTAAGTGCCTTCTGTTAAACCAAACCATATTTTTTATAATGAGTTTATGTATTTTCAGTCATTCAAGTATAAATGCTCTGGATCATTTTTTTTCCTGAGTAGCAGGACAAGCAAAGAACCCTTCTCCCAAAAAAGATACTACCTTAAAATAATATCAGGAAAATTATAGGCCATTTTGATGCCTCTTACAGATAACTGTCCTTTTCTTACCCTCTAAAGCAGCAATTTTCAATCAGTGTGCAGCAAGAATTTTTTAAAAATGCAATACCTGACTATTTAGTCAGGGGCACTGACCTCTTCTCCCTTAGATTGTCAAATTAAAAATTTACAACAGCCCGGCCAGGAGTGGCTCAGCGGTTGAGCATCGACCTAGGATCCAGGCGATCGGGGTTCGATTCCTGGTCAGGGCACATGCCCGGGTTGTGGGCTCGATCAATGACTCTCTCATCATTGGTGCTTCTATCTCTCTCTCTCCCTCTCCCTTCCTCTCTCTGAAATCAATAAAGATATATTAAAAAAAAAAAAAATTTACAACAGCCAACACAACAATAGCTGTCCAATGTGAATGAATCAAAATTATACCTATTTTTCTGTCATGCTGGCAAAAAATATATTTTTGGTATGCTACAGAATTTTAGTAATTAGTGTATATGTGCTATGAGATGAAAAAGGTTGAAAATTGCTGCTCTAAAGAAAAAAAAGTACTCTCTTTAAAGTAAGAAAAAAAAAGTTTTTCCTGAAAATTTCATTTAAAGTCCAGGTAAAGCGTAAAAGGTATAAAATTAAATGTATGTTAACATTTTTCAAATCAACTATTGGCACATTCAGAGAAAATTAGCAAGGCTAATTACTACATTTAATAAATGTCAAAAATCATTAGAAATATATATAAAGTAATAAAATACATTTTGAAAATAATGATAGATTTTCAAATTCAGAATTTTAAATAATACTCAATATAAATTAATACCTCATTTCTGAGATCTGAGGACCTAAACTATGCAATTACATGTAAAATTTTAGTTACCTTTCACTTAGATGATGAAAACTGCTGCTTTCATCCTGGTGTTCATCTTCAAAACTTAAATTGGACCAGCTACCAGTGCTGTCATCACCAATACTGAGATTCATCTGCTGGCTACCAAAAGATTCAGTTGACTGAAAATCTTCTATTTCTTTTAGACTAAAAAAAAAGATAAATTCAATCCAAAAGCATGAGGTTCTGAGTTATAAGACTATAATTCTTACAGATAATAAAGATAACAAAAACAAGAAATGATTTTCAAAGTCAGATCAGTGGTCCACCTAATCCCCTTTCTTTGTGTCTGCTAACAAAGAAACTTTGTAGGACAGTTTATTAATTTCAGAGTTAACTGAGGTACCCACCAACACCCATCCATCCCAAATGCAACATTTATTTAAATTCTCTTTAAATCAGTTCTTATTTTCAACTGAAACCACTATGAAGGAGCACAAGTTCCTAAGTTTTCCACCTGCTTTGTAAGGCAGTACTTTTATTTGTATAACAAAATAAAACAAAACCCCTTTTCTGGCTTTAGAAACAAACAAAAAAGTAGTTCAAGGAATTCTAGTACTGTCAGTCAAGCCTACAGTCAAACTAGCCAACTCTTTTTAAGATTCCGAGTATGGATCATAACCCTAACCCTTCTCTCTTGCTTTCAATGAAGAAACATTTATATTTTTATTCTATCTTCACAAGAAAGGCTATTCACTGTTAAATTACTGTAACTGCCCAAACTACATTTTATTCTCAGCATAGCAGTTTAAAGTGATATTTTTAAACATGAATAGGGAAAATGTTAGTCTTCTGATCAAAACCCTCTAGTAGCTTTTCACCAATCAGAACAAGCCAAAGCCTTATAACATACTACCTAATGTGACAATCTCTCACAATCTCTACATTATCTCCTACTACTCCCACCCTGGCTCACTCTCGTAAGTCACTCAAGCCTCTTCGCTGTTTCCCCAACATGCAGTCCCACCCCTTTCCCTGGAACCCTCTTCCCCCCGATTTTCATGTGACTTATTCTCTCTTAGTCTTTGGCTCTTTGCTCAAATGTTACTTTGTCAGAGTTGCTTCCCCTGCTACCTGTTCAAAACTGCAAACCAGCCCACCCGCTGCCATGCACGCCACCATCACCAGCACTAACTCCCTTCCTTGCTTTAGTTTCCCTCCAAAGCACGTATCACCACGGGACATACAGTACTACACATTCTACTTATTTATTATACTATTATACAACATGAGGTCCAAGTGAACACATATTTTTGCCTGTTTTACTTACTTCTGTATCCCCAGCGCCTAGAATAGGTCCTAAACTGTCCTCACTTTGGGGCTATTGTCATTTTGTATTTAAAATATACTAACCAGAATTATATTGGGCATTCCAGCAATCATACTATAGTTTTGAACCATAACAGCTTCATCTTCTAGCTGAGAAAATGGTTAATACCTTCCCTCAAAGGGCTCTTGTAGGGTAATGAACAATGTATATGAAAGGAATATGTAGAATATGAAACAACACATAAATGTAATAGAGAAGAATTGTTAATTTAGGGTTAAAAATAATCCTACCTTTCTAAATAGAACCTAAGTAAGACATATATGATCAAGCTTAACTTTTTTTAATCCTCACCCAATATGTTTTTATTTATTTTTTTTAAATTTAGAGAGAGAAACATCAGTGTGAGAGAGAAACATCAACCAATTGCCTCTGGTATGGGCCCCAACTGCAGATCAAACCTGCAACCTGGGTGCCCTGACAGGGAATCAAACCAGCAACCTTTTGGTGTATAGGACAATGTGACAACCAAGCCACACAGCCAGAGCTGATCAAGTTTAACTTTTCATTTTGTTATAAGACCCAAAAGAAACTTGAAACTTACCTGTTAACAGCATGTTCAACATTCATGATCGCTGATGTCATTATGTCTGTGGTAAGGCTTTCAGCAAAGCTAACACCATCTTGTCCAATTCCACTATCAGCTGCCAAACTGGTATTGCTCAGCTCTCTCTCTGCCTTTTCAATAGCTTCAGCAACTATCTTCTCAGCAAGCACTGTCTTCTTATCAAGATCAACATGAATTTGAGGAACATCAAGGTGAAAAATTCTAGACTTCTGATAAATGTTGCTAAATTTTGAATTAGAACCTGGCTTACTGTGAGCAAGTGAATCCTGTCTGAAAGAGGGTTGAGGTGAATTTCCACTGCAGTCATGGAGTTCTTTATGGTCACAATACCTGCAAGTTTGACTTACAAGAGGTGACAACTTTTCTGCATAAGTGATCCTATCTGCTGCTTTTGTGGTCTCAGACACTTGGAAAACTGCAGATCCTAAGCTGAGTTCCATAGTGTCATTCACTACTTTTTTAGCATACTGTTCTATAGCTTGAACAACATTCTCTCCATAACCATACCCATTTAAACTGCCTGTACTGTGGTAAAATCTGTGATTTTGTGGGGAAGGCTGAAGAGACTTAGGAAAATCTGGCTCAATGTGAGACTCGGTATCTTCATCACATCCAGATTTTTCATAAAGGCAAGAATCTGTTGAGGATTTTGGCAAGCTAACTGCAGACATTGTCAGCTCTTTTTGAACATCTCTGGTTATGCTATGAGCGAGAGAGGTTGAAAAACTATACAGTTTAGAACATTCATTTCCATATGTATCCTGTGTCCACTCACAAGTTTGATTTTTACAGAGGTAACCTCCATTTCTTTTACTTTGTCTTTTTTTATCTACTTCTTGGTGGTGTTTTTTATTTAAGAACATTAAGAGTTCATTGTTGGCTTTCACCTGTGAGCTCTGCACAAGGAACATTTTTGAGTTGCACTTCATTTTGGCTGTCTTAGCTGCTTCTTGCAATCCTGATTTGACCGATCGATAAGCAAGTCTATTGGCATACTGATCCATTATTAACTCACTATTACCACCTTCCTGTTTTAGTATTTGGATAATGTGACCTGCATATTCGTCTGTCACACTTTCACAGCTGGGATACTTGTATGTCAGACCTGACATATAAGAGCTTGGTGGTAATGAAAGAATAAACGGATCAACTTCTCTTGGGTGTGCTACAGTCTCTATATTCAACTTCTCTTCTGATCTATAATCTTGGTCACCATCACTGTAACAACTGTTGTTCTTTTCACTGAAAAGCACGTAACTTCTACCTTTGGCTATTTTCTCAGCTTCAGTAATGACTTCTGCTGCCATATCACCTGCAAAATTGCATAATGTTTCTAAATTTTCATCTGAGTGATGCAACGACATAGATGATACACTTCTTTGACTCTGCACATTTAAGCAAGGGATTTTAATCTTGGGTTCTTGAATTATTTTATTATCTAAATGGGAAGCTGCCGTTTCAGTTGCAAGAGAAATGATGTGTGTAGTTAATGCTTCAGCAAACTGAACTTTTTTCTCCGAGTGCTCTGACTTCACATCCACTTCTGGACGCTCTTCACCTTCACTACTTTCAACTTCTTCTGAAAGAGATCGCATGAGTTTCAACATGAACTCTTCTTTTTCAATAGCATTTTGTTCATTTTCAGACAAACTACCAACAGATGAGTAGTGAGGTGTAGAAGGTGGTGTAGCAGGTGCAAATTCTTTTGCTAATTCCCCCTTGAGCTTTTTGGTTAACTTCTTGATATCCCATTCAGAACTAGCCTGGGATGGTACTAGAGGAGTTGATGGGGGAGTATCAGGTATTACATTTCCATCTCTAATTTTCTGTTTATCTTCCGCATGCAAACCATCTACGCACGTAAGCACTGCAGATGAGAAAGTCTGTGAATGGGCAAAAGGACTTTCTTGCCCAAAAGGCAAGGGCACAGGTACTGTATTATTCAAATTATACTTTTTCATTGATTTGTCCTTAGCAGATTCCTTCAAATCAGGTTTCTGACCTGCCACAGTTGAACATGGTAGTGTTTCTAAAGAAAATCCATGAGCTACAGAATCTTTACATTCTGGAACACAATCCTTTCCAACTAAAAGTGAGCAGTGAGTTAAGTGATCTTGAGCATCAAGACATCCGGGAAACTTCTCCAAGGTTAGCTGTGACTCTTCTCCAGGAATAGGCAAGTCTTCCCTGTTTACTGCATTTTTATCCACATTTAGGATCATTGATTTACTTTTATCTATGGAATGTTTAATAACAGATTTAGATAATCGATCAACAAACATGTCCTTATTGCTAGCTTCATTCTGTTGTAGTGTCACTTGATCATAGCGGAAAGGAGGATTTCTTTCCTTTACTGTTTTAGTTAAACAATCTGTGTGTTTATCAACTGCTTTTGTAACTTTGAATGATGTCACTGACTCTAAAGTTTCATTTACTATTGAACGCACCATTGCTGCAGAAAAGTTGCTAATAATCACAGGCTCACTTGTCAGTTTTGAAGAGTTTTGCGTTTCAACATCATCATTAGTTAGTTTAAAATCATTCTGGTTACTCGGACTGTGTTCTGAAGGTAAACAAATATTTCTGAGACAAGCTACTTCTTCTTCGTTTTTTGTGGAAACATCTGCTTCGGTAGAATCACCATTCAAATTACCATCACCAGATGACAGATGAGACTTTGTCTGATATGTATTAGTTGAAAAGTGATATGGGAGAAGGGCACTTCCTGCCAGAGGCACTGGTATAGAAGTAACAATTCCAGAAGTACAAAACAAGGCCTGCTGTACAGTATATTCTTTTTTATATGCCTGCATTGGTTTTGTCACCATAATTGCTTGACTGTTAAAAGCAGGGGTGTATGTGGAGGTCTGTGTCCATGGCACAATTTTTTCAGCACTCACATACTTTATGTTATCTGTAGAAACACTAACTGCTGCCTTTGTTGTAAAGGTCACATCAACTTGTGATAGCTCAATGAATGCTTCCTGTATTACAGACTCAGACAAATCTTTTGCATATGACTTCACTACTTTGTCTTCATAGTCAAATGAACACTGTGGAGATGCAGGTGTTGAGGGATATGAAAATTGACACACTTCCATAATACCTTCAAAAACAAGCTCTTCAGCAAGATCTGCAGCAAACCCAGCAACTACGTTTGTAAATATCTGCTTCTTTACATACTGTAAATCTTTTAAAGCATTTGATAAAGCTTCACTCACCAAAAAATTAGCAAGACCACTAATGGCACGTTCTTTCAGTGAAAATGCACGCTGCCTTCTCAGTTCATTAAAAGCCACCTGAAAAACAGACGATGTCAATTTGATGGCTAAGTGGCACAATGCATTGGTACAGGAAGAGACTCCTTTCTGCAAGTCTTTAAATGCACTGCCAAAACTTTTTTCCACAAGATCTGCTGCAAATTTTTGAATGCTATCTCTAATCATGAAGGGTTTATTCTTAGATTTACTTTTTTGATCAAGGCTTCCACTCTTAAGAGCTATGGTTTTATTTTCTCCCTTTTTAATGCTATTAATGTTTGACGTTACATTAGTATTTTGGGTATGGAGAACTGAGCTCAGTACTTCACATGAAATGCTATTCGCATAATCTTCATAGGTGTAATAAATAGAATCATGATTTTCATGAATCCTATCTCCACCAATATCTGTTTGGCAAAAACATTCAGCAGGTGTACAGCCTCCAAGAGGACTAAAAGCAGAGGATCGAATGGGGCTAAACAAGCCACTGTCTTCCCCAGATGCCTTCACTGGGCGAGGAGAATCTGGAGCATCACACAGGTTGCTGTAAGGGGATTCTGGTTTACGAGGCGTTGGCTTTCTAACATTAGCTGGGAGAGCTGGACGATCAAACTTGAATTTTTGAGGATTCATAGTAGTGGTTACAGAACAAGATTTGACATGTTTGTGCCCTTTCTTTTTCGATGGCTTCCCTATGACAGGATCTTTCAGAAATGGACAAGAAGTCTCTAAAGTTTGTTCTAGTTCATCAAACTGATCAAAACTATCAAAAAATTCACTTACTTCTGAGTCTGAATCCTCTATATCATCTTTCATCACAGGAATTTTAGGTAACTCAAGTTTTGCTTTTAAACTTTTCTGATATCCTTCTTCATCTAAGAAAATAACCGGACTTGGACTTGAGCACTCCGATTCAGATGAATAGGCAGGAGAAGAAGAAAAAAACGTTTTCTGTGTATCACTACCTTTATCTGAAGCATTAGATGACCTATAGAAACTCCTTTGGATCCAAGGCTCAGAAATTGATGTTGTGACTGAACTTTTCACAGGTTGTTCTTTATGTCCCAGAACGTTTATTAAGGAAGTTGAAGGTTTAGCCAATGACTTCTGCAGCCCAGAGCTAACCAGAATCCTTAAATCATGGGTTTCTAACTGGTGACCAGAAGTAGTCTGTGAAGCAGCATCACACTGGCTCTTCAGTGCAGTAATGTTTACTCCTATAGAAAAAAAATAACATGATCAAATTACTCTTGGAACAGAATTTTTTTAAAAATTTAAATCAATGGGAGTAATAGATTTCAGCATAAAATATTTGTAACATGTCTCTTCTAAACTATGTTGTTTAACACTCATCCCAAGTCATTCTCAAAAGCAAATATACCCTTTACTAAAATAATTTCATTTTACCACATACTTGGGAGTACCTGGTCCATGGAACGCTTAGCATACTGTCACATGTGCTAGAAACTCTAACAAGGTGACTCTGCCAGCTAACTCCTGTCAAGTTTGAACGTAGCTATGTTCCAAACACTTACGATAATAAGGTAAACTGTACTACCAAAATAAGAACAGAAATGGCAAAACTAAAAACCAGATAGCAATGAACTTAAAAATCTCAAGAAAAGTAATTCCTTGGACAATTAGGAAAAAGGTGAAAAAGAATAAACATCAATAGAGTAAGTTGGCCTTAAAACTTTAAAAACTGAACTTTAAACTTGAATCCCCTATATAAAGAAGTAATCTAGTAAAGAACAAACCATCATTATATGGTTTTGAGGTCTCTTCTTCCTCTAAGTGCTCAAACGCAGTGACAAAGTCATCCTCTATGGATGACACTGACTGGTTAGTTTCGTCATCATCTTCATTAGCGGTCTCAAGTTGGCGCTTCTGATGCAAGTATGTATCCAGGGTGTATCTTATACCAGTAGCATATTTACTTAAGAGACTAAAGATAAAATCAATTCTGAGTCTTGGTAATGTAGGTGGTGACACTCTCATGACACAAAGCATTCCAGAATGATGACTCTTGGGAAAGATGATAAAAATATTTTAATTTCAAAACATATTATACATACAAAACATACTACCTGTAAATAAAGCCTAGAAATAACACAATCTCGGGGGGGGAGGGATAAAAAAGAAAGAAATACATGCATCCTGAATGATTTTTCTTAATCATTCACCTAACTTACCAACTACCCTATAAACTGCTTGAAGGCAGGAACCAGATACTATTCTATTTTTGTATCCCATTTTCCTTAGTGCACAGCACAGTTATCACCTTCTCTCCCATCATAAGAGAAGAATCCCCTCTTTTACGTAAATTTCCCTAGTATTACAATTTACAATAATGTTTACAGCTTTAATACAAGTCATCAGATTTTTTCCATACATACTATCCTTAAATATGTAAATATTACAAATGATTTGTTCAAAAAACTAGAGCCTAAATATAAGAGCTACTCACCTCTTATAGTCTAGCAAACAAAACAAAGTAAGTATAAATGAAGATTATAATTAAGGAAATGAGGCAAGCAGTTCTACTTTTATGTGTAGACCTCATAATTACACAGTAGTCTTTTACACATGGAATAAGTAATTCAAATTTTAAACCTCCTAGAATTCAATTTTTAGGAGGTAAAACATTCAAAACATTTTTCTTTAATGAATTTTCAATAAAACAATAGTAAAGAACTAAAAGCTGAATGTTATAAAAGGAACTGTGTGGAATGGTAACATTTTTGTTTATAAAATTAAAGAACACATCTTCAGATTTCCAATTTACACTGAATTTTTTAAATCAGAAAATGAGTTAAAGTATGTTCTCTAAAACATATAGCACAATATTTATATAAATTTGAAATTGGCCATAAAGGGGGAAAAATTCTTATTGCTTATAAAAGCTAGAAGTTCAAGAAATCCAGAAATAAATTTTCAGAAAAAAATTAATAATTATTTGCATGCCACTTATGAAACTTTGCACATGAAAACTCTAATTTAAAGCTATAACCAAAATTATTCTAACCCTCAGTGATTTCAAAGCTTCATGAGTTAGATTCCTCATGAATCATACTTCCTCAAATATTTTTTTTAAAAAAAAGAAACTTCAAGCATTTAAAAGTTTAATACCCTCAATCAAATGTCAATGCAAAATTTGCCCTGAAAAACTCATTAGAAATGGTATAAAAGTTACCTGATTTAGAGGACCACTGTTTATATCTGGTGACTTATTTATATCCTTCATACAAATAATTTCATTTTCATTTAGACTACAGAAATGTAGTGAATTCAGAAGATCTGGAAGTTCCAAAGAAACTGCAGCTAAATCCTAATTTAAAACAATAAGACTTTTGTTAAGATTTCTATAATGTGGGACCCATCCAAAAATCATAAGGTCTACTGGTTAATAAATTTTTCAGTTCATAACAGTTAACACGTGCAGTCTATCAAACACAACCACTTTTTTAAAAATTCAAAAATAAAGTGTACTAAAATATTTTAATATACCTGCTATTTCTGTACCCTTTTGATCGTATTAATATGAAGCTACAAACATTTTTTACATGGTACCTCACACATCCATGACAATTAGGCTTAACAGTTTTTAGCTGCAAATGTCAACCTGCAGTCCTCTGGTTAAACTGTGAAATTTTTCATACAGGATTCTTACAGATTGTACTTAATTGAAGTTTAAGTTTTATATTTATAAAATACAACTCTATTTTTCTGCCTTTTCTCTCTGAAGTATTATATTAGACTTTAACTGATAATTTAATGGTGTAAAGAAAAAGAAAATAGCTTTTTTCCCCTCATTTGGCCTTTCTATATAAATATTTTACCCAGTTAAGGAATTACTAATGTCCTTGACCCTTCACAGAGTACTTTCCTTTATAATTATGGTTTTATCAGTAATTCTTAAAGAAGAAGTAGAACCAGAGAGAAATACTTTGGAATACCTCTCCTCTCTGCCTTACATTCTCAGGAATATGTCCTCTCTTGTGCCTTCTGCCTAAACTATTTCCTTTAGCCAAGGGTAAAATCAAGACACACAACAGAGTTTTCATTCATTATCACCTACTATGCATTGTTCACAAAGAACTAAATAGTGTTATTTCTTCTTCTAAAAAAATAGTGTTATTTCTTCTTCTGCCACAAAAGGAAACATTTGGCAATCACAAACCTTAAGAAACTGCATGAGGCAAAACACAGAATGTTTACCAGAGCTCTTTGAGATACGGAAATTGAAGTTTAAGTTTTATATTTATAAAATACAAGTCTATTTTCCGAATCTACCAGAGCTTCAACCACTCTTTATGTGACTGAAGCTTTCCTTTGCTGATCCTAATCTCAACTATCAGCCCCTCTGTAAATTCCTGCATAAATCAAATAGGCTAAAATTTTTGCATTGGTTAATATTACTTTTTACAAATTTTATCATTTAAATTTATCTCATTTATTTTACCATTTAAATTCTCATTGAAAATATAAGAACCTGACTGTTGAGGTCATATTATAAAAACCATCGAAATTAAAAAACAAGGCTTACATTCTATCTTAGGCACAGAATGGAAAAAAAGGTAGCCTCCAATCTGCAACCTTCTCAGATAAATGACTTTTGTGGTCTCCTAACCTAAAACTGCTTTTCATAACAAGAATACTCAGTGAAAATGCTAAAAGTGAAAATTGCCAACGCATACTCAAAAGGTGATCTCAAAATGTCATCTTTTAACTTTAAACAGGAATGATGATAAGCAGGAATGATGATAAGCAGAAGAGTTTAGTGTAAGTTTTTGGTTAATAAGGCAAATTTTCCGTATCTCAAAATTTGTTCCAAATAATCTCTCATGGTCTTTAGTTCAGTAAATCGACCATACCTGTATATGAGCAGCATCTGTTTCTTCATTAAAACCTAGAAATGTGACCTGAATAAAAAAATAAAGCTCTATTAATTTGAGTTTTAACATTTTATCTCAATTAGATTACTAACAGCTGAGAAACAGAAAAAAAGTATATAAAGCATTAAAATACTGTCGCATACAAGTATCAAATCATTATATGGTACACCTGAAACTAATATGATGTTTTATGTCAATTAGACCTCAATTAAAGTAACTAAATAAAAATGCTGACTGTCTTGGACAGAACAATTAATTTTTTCAAAAATGATGACAAAGGCTTTTCCACCAAAGGTTTGGCTCCATAACGCAGCTCTTCAACCTATCCCACATCTACTTCATTAGCATGCTCAATCGATTCTACTCCCAAAACATATCTCACGCACATCCACTTCTCTCCATTCTGGCTGCCAACACTTCCCATCTGCACTACTACAGTTCTCTTGCACCTGATTCCAGTAATCACCATGTCACCTGCCTGTCAAAAGCCTTCCAAGCTTCCCAGTTTGGTTCGAACTGAGGCCCCAAGGCTCTGGGTTAGATGCCTTCAATCTTCTCTCACTTTCATTTATACACATAGGCTCCCTTTCTGAGTCTAGAATATGCCCAGTATGTACTTGCCTAAGGTCCTCACAGTAGCGCCCCCTCAACCTGGATCTCTGTTCCTTGGATGTTTCCATGCCTAGCACCACCTCATTCTTCAAGATCCAACTTATATGTCACTTCCTCAGAAAGGCCATCCCTGGAGAGGCCCTCAAGGTTACCTCCTTATTGACTCCCTGTGATATTATCACTTACTTCCATAAATGCCCTTATATAGAGATTTCTCTGCAGAAGACTATACAAATTAAATTTCTAAAGAATATCTAATGATATGAGGAAATGTCACATTACTAAGTAAAAAGGACAAGTTACAGAAAAATAATAAAGTATGCCCACAATTTCAACCTTATTTTTAAAAACATATGCATGGGAAATAACACTGGAAAGTGATACATCAAACTATAGTGATTAACTCAAGATGATGAATTACAAGTGATTGGATTTTTTTCCCCTTTTATCACCATGGGGCTTTTTCCTCATTCATAAGATTAATGATAGTCATTTTCTTTTTTTATGCTTTTGCTATTTCTTCTTTTTCTATAAGGAATATGTACTGCTTTTATAACCTGAAAATAGTATTATTTTAAAGTTTATATTCCCTTTGTCTTTGACATCATTGGAAGAAATATTTTCCATTTCAAGACAGAATAGTAAACTGTCTACTAAGGCAAGTACTTTGACTAAAAACATGAAATATTTAAATTAATAGCAATATGAATAATCAATTCTAGGAATTAATGGAAAATATCATAGTTAAAATATAAAGCAATGCAATATACTTCTGATCTCTTTCTGATCATTAGGAAGCAAGTCAGAATCTTAAATTACCTCAGGATCTTTATTCTGATTTATTAGGGTTATTTAATTCACAGAATTGTTACAGTTAATTTCTACAGGTCTAGGTAGGTTGTTAACCTCTAGTAGCTTGTCTCTTCATCTATAAAACTTAAGGCAATACAACTTCTCCACAGTTGGGAGGGTTAATCAGATAATGTAGAGGAAAGTGCCTAGTATATCACAGACATTCAATAACAGAGACAATTAACAAATTTCCTTCCTTTCTTCGAAAAGATACTTTGGGATATGTACACCCTAAAGTGAGACAGAAATTCCTTCTATACTTTCAAATTTCCTTTTACTGAATACTGAAGAGAAAATAAGCTGACTTGGTGTTTTAAAGATGCCTGTAGAGTCTTACAGATTCCATTGATGGAGGAAGGCCTCACCAAGGAATGTAAGCAGCTGGAGAGATACAGGCTGGAAAACTGAGGGCGAAAGGACACAGGAGACTTGTCACCTTGGCAACAACTGACTCTGCTTTATGAAAATAAAGTAAAAAAGGGGAAAAAAAATAATGGTCAAGAGCCATAGAAATGAGCTGATACAAAAAGAAGAGGCTCCAGTGAGAGAACACTGTAGGCCTGAAAGGTGTGCTCATTATCCTATGAAACAAATAGTTTCTCAAGGAATAGGAAAGAAAATCATTCCCAAACATAATAATACTAAAGATTTTATTAGAACACTAATTTCAAAAAAAAATTTAATTAACAACCTAATACCTTATTTTTCAGATTCAATGACCTAATATTCTATTTCTCTTATTTTATGTCATAAATGTGTTAATGGACTATGGTTATATTGCAGAATAAAATATTCCTTTTTACAGTTAAAAATTTAAAGATAGGAAATACTGACATAGCAGCAAAACAGGTGAGCAAGTGATATATCTTTCCTTCAAGTAGTAAATATCTTAATTTCAAAATAAATTTAGCACTTTTTCATTCTGAATCAAAGTACTGAATTTAAACAATCAAGAAAACTAACAATAACCCAAAAAACAATCATAAAAACTAAGTATGTATTTCATGTTTCACAGTAGAAAATTTCAGTATTAAAGTTCTAATTACTGAATATTGTAGGAATCATCTGATACAGCACTGTCTGTCTAATGTTCAATAAGGCCTGTGCAATGAATTAAATGTGCTCATTATAATACACTAAGATAATTACATTACTGCATATTTAATAACGGTACTTCTTGCCCTGGTCAGTGTGGCTCAATGGTTAAGAGTGTCAGGCCAAGCACCAAAGGGTTTTGGGTTTGTCCCACCCACCCCGCCGCACCGTCTGGCTCATGCAGGAGGCAGCCAGTAGCAACTAGTCAGTGTGTTTCTCTCATATCGATGTTTCTCTCTCCCTTTCACCCCCCCTTTTCCCTTCCCTCCCTCCCTTCCACTCTCTCTGAAAAGCAATGGAAAAAAACATCCTCAGGTGAAGATTAAACACACACACACACACAAAACAGGTACTTCTCATGCATGTATTAATATGTAAACATTTTAGGCATTTTAAAAACAGGAATGCAGTTCTACGGAAATGCATGAACATACATTGTGCTTTATTAAGAAAGGGTATAGAGAGTAATACGTCAAACCTCAGTCAAACTGGCATGTTCATCCTGCTTTAAACAGTCCTCTGCTGATATACTGCACAGTTCCTTCTCACTCTGTAATAAAGACTTTACAGACTGGAACACATCTTCACTGAAGCTCTGAAAATAAAAGATATTCTTAACTGATTTAATTCTAGGATAAGATAAAAGGTCCAGGAGTTAGTCTAATTTTAAATGGAGAGTAACTCTCCAATTAATATTCATTTGGCATATTATATAGCTTTTCATAAATACAGAACTCAATTCAGCTAAGAGAAAGAAAGAACAAATTGCTTAAATAGAGTTCCACATTCTCAAAACACACACACCATAACCCAGGCATTCAACCTACTGGAAGAGCATGGGGCCCTCACACTGGTTCACTTACTCTTGCCTACATTAAAACCTAACGGACTGCATACTTGATTTCTAAGTCATTGGCAGAACAGAAGCAACAATTTATATAAGGAATGAGACACTGTGGAAGCTACAGTAAGGAATGCTAAAAACAGTGATTACTCTCATAACAAAGTTGGTTATGAGGGGGGAAAAAACTTATAACCACAAATAAGGCTTTTCAGGGACCTTAAGGCAGCTATATGATGAATGTGAGGGAAGGCATTCCAGATTTGGCAGGAGAGGATGTGACAAGTACTAAGTACCAAAGGGAGGGAAAAGCTACATAAAGAAAATAATGAGTATTATAATCAGACATAAATAGACCATTAATCTCCTTCTAACTTACTCTCCTGGTAATTTGTTGATCTGCTCCTTCTATCAGAACTATCCTTATTCTCCAGTCTTCCCCTGTAGAAATCCTACCCATCCCAAGACTGTGAAGATTTTCCCATCCCTTGGTCATAATAAATCTCTCTCAAAGTTCTTACAGTATTCATTCCACATTAAGGTCACTTAATCTATATCACAATATATTATAATTACTGTTTTCATTATGTATTTGTCTTTCCTACCCATTAAACCAAATTACTGAGGCCAAAGACTGTAAAATTGTATTTAACTCAGTTTGTTTCCCTACACTTCAATACCTTACATACCACAGATGTGAGTATACTAAACAGAGGTTTATTCTTGTATTATTATTAATTAATTACTGTATTATTTCCACATGAACTGTGAACCTTTTGCCCCACCCTGTATATAAACTCAATAAATGTGTGTTAATTTTGATAAACTGAAAATTAGTGAAAATCTTCCATCTAAGAGATACAAGTATGAAATTAAAGCAGTTAAGAAAAAAATGTAGTTATATTTTAATATGAACTATCAATATGAACTCAAGGTTCTTTAAGTATATGTACTATATTTTTCCACTGAAAGATCATAGAAGCAATGACCCTCAGTAACAATGAGCATTCCCAGCACCCAGGTTTTGGTTTCTAAATACCATGTGCCAATAAAAAGAACTAGAGCTCGTTGGGAAATGGTTCATTACAGATCAGAGGTAGAGAAAGTATGAAGTGTGGCTAAAACATCTTATTATGACAGAATGCAAGGAAGTGCCCAGAGACTGACTACATCATTTCAAAAGAACACGGAAGCCAACTTGAAGAAATTCCCACTGGCCTAATTTGGGACAATTTGGGCATTGAAAGAATAAAAATTATAACAGACTATAACAACTAAATTTTTTTTTAAACATATGAGAGAGATAAAAAGCTATAAAAAAGAGTGGAGTAAGGGAAGAGTGCTGACTAAGCATGGACAGAATGACAAAATTAGAAAATCCCATTTGTAACTCCCCATGTAATAACTGATTTAGGAAAGGAACATCAATGTATCCTAATCCACTTGATTACAAGCTACTGGGGAACAGAATACTCACACTGTCTCATAGAATCACCCTACAGGTTACTTATTAATTACAAAGGGATTATGTATCTTTATATTGGAGATTACTACAACCTTAACCACCTGGTCAAGCCTGGCGTCTCTCGATCTGAGAGAGCGGAAAGACCATATCACCTTTGGGAGGTTCCTGCTAAACCTAATCACAGAGCAAAGCAGATGAATTCTGAATATGGAGATGTTCTACAAGACAGATGGTCCAGACTTCCAAAGATCTGCTGTCATAAGGAAAGTTTCTAGACCACTGAAATGGGCTAGATTGCAGGAGATCAAAACAAGACACATTACCCAAATATACAGTGTGAACCTTGATTGGATCCTTGAAGACAGGCAAGGGAAAAGTAACAAAGATATTTGAGACAATTAGGGAAATTTGTATATGGACTGCATGTTAGATGAATTAGTGACTTTCTGAGGGAATGTAATGATGCTGATGTTAAGAGATGCCTGTTGACATATATTCAGAAGAGAAGTAAAATAATGTCTGCAGCCTACTCTCATATGGTTTCAGAAGGTGTGGAGGAGAGACTGTTTCCTGATATGACCACTACTGGACCCTTGAGTTATATTAGATCCAGGCCAGAACAGAGATTGCTCCCTGTAAATCCAGAAGAGAGACTGCTTCCCATAAATCTCCTCAAAAACATCTAACTCCTCTTATTTCCCACGTTGTGCTGATTCCTGGTACAGGCCACTGCCCTGTCCCGACAAGCATGAAAGGCATTTTCCCTTACCTGGGGCCTGTCCAGTACCCTCATCCATCCTGCCCTGTTCTACATAATTCTTCAGTGCCTGCCAAGCACCACGGAGATTATCTACTTCCTCTTGACACAGCACAAGATGAGTCTATGTTTCCCTTAATAAACTCTGTTAATTATTGGACTGGAGTGACCTACTTCTTTCTTCAGTCTTTCCCTACCCTCTGCTTACAGATGTAGATTTTTCAGTCTCTGAGCTTTTCCCTAAGTCTGCATGTAGGAACAAAAGTGGAGTGAGTATGTATGTATGTGTGCATGTATGTGTGCATGTGTGCATAAACACACAGAGAATAATTATGATAAAACGTTAACTAACAGGGTGAATCTAAGTGAAAAAGTATATGTGGTGCTCATTGTATTTTTCTTCAACTTTTCTGTGGGCTTGAAAATATTCAAAATTTTAAATGATTCTGTTTTCATTAATGAGTGGAAGTTTTCAGGCTAAGAAATGAACATGAACTCAAAAAAAAATAATTAAAATGTGAAATCTGAACTTCAACTATCAATATAAACTCATGACACTGAAGAAGCAATGAGCATTCCTACTCCCAGTTCCCAGATGTTGGTTTCTGATTATTATTCAGAGTTCTTTAGAGAAAGAAATAGCCAATTCCAGGTCTGAGGAAGGAAAAGTAGAAGGAGAAACTGGGGTCAATGTGTTGTAGTAGAAACAAGGAAGCAATCAAAGAATTATGAGCCTGAGACAAAAGGACATAGGGACCAGCTTGCAGGGGTTCCCAGGGGCCAAGTTTGGGATAACTTAAGCAACTTCAAACAAATAAATGAGTGAATGAATAAATGACTATAAATAAATAAAGGATTGGAAAATACAGAATTTTTTTTAAATCCATGAGTCCAGAACAATACAAATAAACAAATGAGTGAGAGGAATAAACTCACTTGCCACCACTGGAGGTGGCTATTCTACTAAATCAATAACCTGAAAATTGGTAATTAAAGGGCATTTACCCTGCCTTTATAGGAGATATCGAAGCTCATCTAAGATTGATGACAGAAATGTTTTCTTTAAGAAAACTGTCAGCTAATAAATGTAAAAAGAAGAAAAAAAGAGAGAAAATTAGGAAAATCACTGTTTTGCCATTTCCAGGAAATAACAAATTCAGGAAAGGATCAAGAAATGCCAAAAATATTAGATGAAAGGTTGTTGGGGGGGGAGGGGGGAATAAGACATTTGCACACAACCAAGTATCATCCCATAGATTATCTGCTAACTAAAACATAGAAAATAGTTCTGGCACAGTTACTACCTTACTGAGTTGATCAATTTTTGCATCACTGATCATAAGAAAACCTGAAATTCTACCTTCAAATCACCCTATAATGTATTCTTGCCAAAAATGTTTAACCTGAATCTAATTAATCCTTTATACCTAACTTCTAGTCTATATGAAATATAGAAGAAAGAGAAATAAGTTAAATAGCACTGAGAAAACAACATTTTTACTACAACTATCACTAAAAGTAATCTAATATAGAGAACTTACTTTTCTGACAGATGCTCTAGTCTTCATGTGACTGTTTCTGAAAGTCTGGAAGGTCGCCATAACTATATTGCTGTTGTATGTGATGAATGAAGAGTTAATCCATAAAACACCTAAAGAATACATATTAATAGAAAAACAATTTATTAACTTTAGTCACTCAGGCAAGCATTTTGCCCTAAAATAACTCCTAAAATAGTCATTTTCCCCCCCCATGTTTTTAGTGATTTCAGAGAGAGGAAGGGAGAGAGAGAGAAAAATCAATGATGAGAGATCAGCTGCCTCCTGCACGACCCCTACTAAGGATCAAGCCTGCAGCCCAGGCATGTGCCCTGACTGGGAATCAAACCATTACCTCCTGGTTCATGGGTCGACACTCAACCACTGAGCCACACCAGTTGGACTAAAATATAGTCTTTTTTTTTTTAATAAAAAAAAATGAACAAAAATGCTGAACCACAAAAATTTAATTAGCACCCAGCTAGCATGGCTCAGTGGTTGAGCGTCGACCTATGATTCAGGAGATCACGGATTGATTCCCGGTCAGGACACATGCTCAGGTTGCGGGGTCGATCCCCAGTGAGGGGGTGTATGGGGGGGGGCAGACGATCGATGACTCTATCATCACTGACATTTCTCTCTCTCTCTCCCTCTCCCTTCCTCTCTGAAATCAATAAAGATAGAAAAAAAAATTTACTTAGCAATTCCAACAATAATTGAAAAATATATTAAAATTAGTTCCTTAATAAGATACCAAATTATTACAAAATGCTTATTTTTAGGTTCAAAATTATTATAAACTAGTTTACACTTATCATTCAATCTCACTGCCCTTTTTTTTGCAAATAAGAAAATATGTGAAGAGACAAAAAGATGGCGGCACAGGTACGCACAGGTACCCACGGTACCCGCTGCCTCCCACAACCACATCAAAATTACAAGTAAAATACAGAACAATCATCACTCAAAACCTCCTGAAATCTGGCTGAACAGAAGTCCTACAACCAGGGAACTGAAAAAGTAAGGAGATCGGTTGGAGGGGCGGAGACGCAGGGGGATCAGGGCTGAATCACAAAGATTCGGCCGCGAGCCCACACCTGGTGCCACGGATTAAGCCCGGAAGGGTCATCTCGGTAGTGAAGGTATCCAGGAAGAGCGAGGGGTCCCAGCCCCACAACTGGCCCCCAGCTCAGGGTCCCAGGGCAGGGAAGAGAAGTCCCCACAACCTCGAGCTGTGAAAACCAGTGGGGAATGTCACTGAGTGACACAGAGGCTGCGGGAGTCCCAGGCAGCTCCTCTTAAAGGGCTAGCCCATGGACTCACTCAGACTCGCTCCCTCCAAGCTCCAGCTCTGGGCAGCAGCTTGAAAGGAAACTGGGACATTCGGGGAGGAACTAACTTGTCTGAAATCAGGGCAAGAGGTGGAGGGGCAGCTTTCTCCCAGACAAATGAGCTGGCAGAGGCCATTGCTCCTTTGGTGAGCCCTCCCCCCACATAACCGGCAGGCAGGCACCTTCTCTGAATCTCCAGCACCTTACTCACACCTTTAGCCCTGCCTGGTGATTCCTGGAGGCCCCGGCCCTCCCTACTTGCAAGCTCATTCAAGCCATTACTAGTGGCTTTTCTGTGCAAGTGGTCTCTCTAGCCTCAGGCTCAGGACTTTCCTAAAATCTCTCAAAGAGCAGCTGGCCTCAGTGTGTCCCATACCTCTTGATCAGTGGCCCAACACCTGGCACTAGTGGCAGCCTGCACTGGTTCATAGCTTGGCTTCTCCTGGACACCTCCAAGCCCAGCACAAGTAGCAGCCAACTAAGGGTTGCTGTGTAGCTCATGCTGGGTGGCCCTGGGCAAGGCACAGGCACAGGCTGACTTTGCACCTCCCTGGAGGCCCCAGAGACAGTGCACCTGGTGGTCAGACTCCACCACGCTGGATTACAACCCCACCACATCCACGAGTGACACACTCAAGGGGCACACTTGGTGAACACCAAAGCTCCACTGAAGTAAATCCTGATCCATAGGGGTGTCTCCAGCACAGCAGCTCTTTGGCTGTAGTTGCAGCTGGTCCTCACAATCGATTGGCCTGGGGGGGAATTCCTCCCAGTGATGCCAACAGCAACCAAGGCTCAACTACAACAGGACAGTGCACACAGCCCACACAGGGGAGCACCTAGAAGGCCCAGCTCAGGTGACTGGGGAGGCTGAGCCACTGGACCCTACAGGACACCTACTACACAAAGCCACTCTACAAATTCCAGGAGACATAGCAGCTCTACCTAATACATAGAAACAAACACCTGGAAGCAGCCAAAATGTGGAGGCAAAGAAACATGTCACAAAGGAAAGAACAGAAGAAATCTCTAGAAGAGGAACTAAATGAAATAGATCCAAGCAAGCTAACAGATACAGAGTTCAGAATTTTGTTTATAAGGATGTTTAAGCAGACTATTAGGGAAATAACTGAGAAAATCGATAACATAATAAAGTACCAATTTGAAATGAAGGCTACAGGAACTGAAATGAAGAATAATTTACAGGGAATCAACAGTAGAGTAGAGGACGCTGAGAATCAAATCAGCAATTTGGAACATGAGGAAACAAAAAACACCCAACCAGAAGAGCAAAAAGAAAAAAGAATCCAGAAATATGAAAATAGTATAAGGAGTCTCTGGGACAACTTCAAACAGCCCAACATTTGTATTATGGTGATGCCAGAAGGAGAAGAAAGAGAGCAAGAAATTGAAAACCTATTTGAAAAAATAACAGAAAACTTCCCCTACCTGGGGAAAGAAATCGACTTACAAATCCAGGAAGCACAGAGGGTCCCAAACAAGAGGAGCCCAAAGAGGCCCACAGCAAGACACATCATAATTAAAATGCCAAAGATTAAAGACAAAGAGAGAATCTTAAAAGCAGCAAGAGAAAAGCAATTAATTACCTGCAAGGGAGCACCCATACGGCTGTCAGCTGACTTAACAGAAACTCTGCAGGCGAGAAGGTAGTGGCAAGAAATATTCGAAGTGATGAAAAGAACCTACAACCAAGATTACCCAGCAAAGCAATTATTTAGAACTGAAGGTCAGATAAAGAGCTTCACAGATAAGAAAAAGCTAAAGGAGTTCATCACCATCAGACTGGTACTACATGAAATGTTGGAGGGTCTTCTTTAAGAAGAAGCTAATGAACAAAAGAATCTGACAAACTAAATAGATCCAGAGATATTGACGCAGGCAACTGACAATCATATTTCAGAGGAAAGAGGGAAGGGGGTGGAGGGTGGGAAGAGATTAAACAAAGAAGTTATATGCATATATGCATAACCCATGGACACAGACAATAATGAGGTAAAGGCCTGGGGAGGGGGTAGGAGTGAGGTGTAGGGGGCCAAAGGGGGAAAAAATGGGACACCTGAAATACTTTCAACAATAAAGATAAATTTTAAAAAAAGAAAATACTTGAAAGCCTCAATAATATTTTAAAAACCTTTTAAAATATAAAAGATTACAGCCCTTTTGTCTCCCCAAAGTCACTCTATCCTTACAGCAACTGTGAATGCTCTACACATTCATATTTCATGGGCAGACAGATTTGATAATATACAAATTAAAATGTGAAATCTGTACATATCAAATTAAAATCAGATAAACAAATACTAATTGCTTGTACAGTAATCTTAACAGCATACCAATGACTAAAGTTCAAAAAACATCCAAATTCAATGATAAATAATACTTAAAACACGTGCATGCACACATGTGCACACACACACACACCCCCCTTGGGAGAAACTCTAAAACTAAGTATTAACTTTTTATCAATGTTTTAATAAAATATCTTTGAGATCTTAAATCAACTCAGCATTACCCACTCAATACCAACATTTGACGACAGTACTTTGCTCATTCATTCAAAATTTACTTGCGTTAGATGCTATGGATATGGGGAAAACAAGGCAGGAAAACGTTTTATTATAGTAAAGAGTGGGAATGGGAACTGAATTCTAAATCACTAAATAACTAAAAAATTTGAATCAATAAAGATTTAAAAAATGGTCCGGCCAGCATGACTCAGCAGTTGAGCATCAACCTATGATTCAGGAGATCGCGGTTCAATTCCTGATCAGGGCACATTCCCGGGTTGTGGGCTTGATCCCAAGTGCAGGGTGTGCAAGAGGCAGCTGATCTCTCTCATCATTGATGTTTCTATCTCTCTCCCTCTCTCTCTCCATTCCTCTCTCTGAAATCAATAAAGATATATTTAAAAAAAAAAAAAGATTTAAGAAATGGTTAATTAGTTTCAATCAAACTGATCTTATACAGAATTATCTAATTGTCCTGACCAGGTGGTTCACTTAGTTGGCAAGTTGTTCTGCACACCAAAAGGCTGTGGGTTCAGTTCCAGTCAGGGCACATACCTATGTTGCAGTTTCAATCCCCAGTTAGGGCGTATACAGGAGGCAACCAATAGATGTTTCTCTCTCTCTCCCTTCCTCTCTCTAAAAAATATCAGTGACCATATCCTAAGGTGAAAACTAAAAAAAAAAAAAAAGGAAAGAATTACCTAGTTGAAATTTTAATGACATTGTTATCAACATAAATTTTATTATAAAGAAACTTATATGGAAACTTCAACCTAGTCCCATCAGAACTGCATAAAAACCACAAAATTTTAGTGTTCTAATTTTATATTCTTATACTACAGAGGTAAAACTAAGTGTGTGTGCGTGCACGTGCACATACGCCATCCTTTAGAAATTACTAGATTCTAACTTTCAGACAAAGAATTATGATGGTATACTATCCTGAACTAAGATAAATCCTAGTGGTCTCTCTAACAATAAAATTTGATCAATGACTGGAACTAAAGCAGGACTGCAAGAAAGGAAACAGAGGTCCCAACAGCACAAGATAAAGAGTGATACATCAGGATTCAGAAAAGTACCAGTTGTGTTCCTGTTCTACCTCCCATTAGCTTTATTTCCCCTAGGTAAATTGCAATATTTCTGGATCTGTTTCCTCAATAGATATATTACCCAACTTACCCAGCAAGTGTATTATGAAAATCAAATGGAAAATAATTTACATGAGGCACTTTGGAAACTGTAAAACATAGG